AAACCTCCCATGTACTCCACTCTAAAACAATTCAAAAATATTCACTAATATGAACAGATAATATTAAAATATAGTAATCTCGTATTTCACGCTAAAATGCAGTTAAAATTAATTTCCAACTTATCTTTATTGATATTGCATATGAGAAGAAAATCTAGCATTCATCATTTTCGAAGTTTATATTAGGCATAAAATAAGCAACTATTCAGCAGCGATGGTATTCATTTTTTAGTACTTATTTCAATATCATTTGTACTAAATTCTTCATAAATTAATTCTGCTATTGCATGTTCTACTCAATAGTTAAGGACAACGTTCCCTCTTTTCTCGGTTCATTTGTTTCTTATTTTCGTTTTAAATATGTGAAGCTGGTGAATGTGAAGACTTTATTTATTCGAAAGCATTTTTGTAATAACAAAATATGTATTTGCGAACATTTTATTTTGTGACTCCACAGTATTGCATTATTGGTCGCTATACGTGCTACTCTCGTCGACGCTACACGTGCAAAATTTGGCAGCAATCACCCTAGCGGTACTAAGTGATTGTGTCACATTCTATTGTAAATAATTTCACTTTGATATAATACATGATATTACGAAATTCTCATTTCAGCTAAATTATTAGGGGACCGAAAAATTGAAGAAAAGTGGTAAAATAAGTGTTTTTATAAACCTTTTCTACAATATAAATATTACAGAATAGAAAACTACACTATAATGTTAATTGAGGTAATTTCTAAAACGTAGAATTACATTCTTCAACGTACTCTATGAACGAGTTTTAAAAAGTTGTCTCCCTGTTATGGCCACATCTTTTTAAATCTCTGCCAAATTCTCGTATTCGTAGGTCTATATTTAATTTCGATTATACTTTCTCATCGCACAATTCAGTAAACGCATTGGAGAGAAGCCCGTGAATTCGAAAAAATCCCTCTATTCATCGTGAATTCACGTCTGTTTCTTGATAGATTGAAATGTGCCTTGTCTGATCTCCTTGTCTTAAAAAAGAAATAAACGATGCAAACTACTTGAAATATAGTGAGGGAGTATGAATGAAGCAAATGTGAAAGAGCTGCGTACTGCTGCTGTGTTGTGGTGGCGCGGGTGTCAATGGCGGCCGCGTGTCCACGCAACGTTTGGCGGAGCGTCCGACAAATCCCGGCCATATTGCATCGCCCGCCTGCCTTCGCTTGTCGCCATCTACTCCGGCCTCCCGCAGCCCGCTCCCACCGCTCCCACCGCTCCCCGCCGTCCCGCGGGAACCCGCCTCAACCCGGCTATACATAGTCGGCGGCGTAGACCGGGCGAAGCGCTATGAAATATTCATGAAAAGTCGGCCGCACGCGGACTATGAGGTGAGACCCTCCCCTTAAGAACACGAGATGGGATTTCTGTTTTAGCTGTGAGCGCGCGGAATAAGGAAAAACTTGGCATCCGAAGAGCTGCTTCTCCTTTCTTCTGTGTCTACACACAACAACGTTGTTTCACTTGTGTGTTCTCCTTTTTACTGGCCCGCGGGCGCGGCGGCGGCCGCAGAGATGACGGAGGAGGAGGCAGGCACGGAAGAGTAGCAGGAAGACGCGTAGGCAGGGAGAGCCCACCCCACCCCGCCCGTCGAGAAAGCTCACACTGGACGCGCGGTTTTTTGAGCTCTTTGCATTTCGGTTAGCGTTTGATGTCGTTGGGACCTTATCTCGCAGTGAACATCTGGTGCGCGGTAGCTGTGGCAAAGGGGGGGCTTCCCGTCGCGGAAAAGACGGCCACCGCCTCGGCCGCGTCCTCGCCCCGCCCCGCCCCGCCCGCGCCCCGCGCTCTCCTGTCCGCTGCGCCGGTCGTTCGCGTCCGCTGCTGCCCTGGTTTCCCTGCTTTAAGCCGCGAGGTGTGGGCGGAGATGGGTCTTAAACTGCGACGTTCGCGTGTCCTTTCTTGTAGCCACTCTATAAAGCGTACATATGTATTTCGTGTGTGTTACGGCTAAAGCCAGAGATGGGGTGAATGTTAGCTGTAGACGGTTAATTCGCACATTAGTTGGTCTGTTTGAATGAAGCTCTAAATGACGAAGAACGAATAATTTTGGACTTGAAAAGACTAATGATGACACTAGCCGCAGAGCGTTGGGAAAGGCGCTTTGTGTGTTCTCAAGATGTACTTTGACATAAAATTCCTTTTAAATTGCACTGTCTCAACGTTGCTTTATGTAAGTAGCGAAGGCTGACGGCAGGAGTTTCGTCGCCGAATGCGCCCGAAATGCGTTTGGGTTGGGTTTGGCGTTTACGACTGACACGTATACCTTGACTCTCACCAGTTTTAAAACTCCGCATGAGCCATCTCAACCCTATTTATTTCATTTTCGCCCTTCACCTAACCTATCCACCTTATGTAATGTCAACTTCACTCAGCGAAAGTCTGAAATACGCTTCGAAGCTAGACTCCACGTATTTTGAATAATGTGAACACTAATCTAATTCGGTTATTAGCCAGATCTAGCCATTAGCTCAAGATATAACCATTAAACAGCACAAATTAAGGCTATGTGCTACAAATAGTAATTTCGCAGTTAAAATGTTTCATATCTCGTTCTAAAACTTTTTGAGGGCCTACTTGTTAGTACGTAGCTAAATGTGTTTTCGTCAGAAACTACAAAATTAGTTTGGGAAGTACAAAAAGATATTTATTGTACTGACCTCAAAAGGGTACTGTAGTTCATAATAGATTTTGCTTTATTGGTGTATGTAAAATTATTTTTGAAGTAATCAGTTTTTAACTATCAAACGTAATATGTAATTCGTTAAAAGGCAAGCACATTCTTAAATATTAGCTGCTAAGTATGCATGATATCGAAACTTGAAGTAAATCCTGTGCAGTCTTTAATCTATCAAAATAATGTTATTCTATAATTTCCATTGTGCTCTTTTGAAACTTTTCTTGCCAAGGCGTTCTCACTATACCTTGGCGGTCACAGTTAACCTGACTCAACCATAGAGATCACGATAGTAGGGTAGCTATCACTGTGCCACATGAACCTGACGAACGCTGTATGGGGAGTTTACTTGTTTTGAATTTTTACTTTTTGAGATATGCTGGTAGTGTTGACGAAGGCGCCGTTTGTGTTGCAGTGGACCTGCTCCAGATGCTGGAGTTCAACGTGACCATCACCTTCCCCGCTGCGCCGCTTCTCACGGTCATCCTGGCGCTTGTGGGTGAGTCGGGCTCTTTTCTTTCTCTTTATTTATTTTTTTTATTTTTTTGCCGTGACGTAAGTAGCCAATGCTAAGCAAGAATATATTCACGTTAAACCAATCCCAGATGGCAATTGCCGTGTGATTATCTGTTTTGCGCGCCGCTGTAATCACTTTCATTACCTGTTTGTTGTTATCAACAGCAATTGTCTTATGTCCACAATTGCTTGTGAGCATCAATGTAATATTAAAATAAGTAGTTTTGCTAATGTTTTAAACTCTGATACTGAAGCTAGTATTAAAGATTCTGCGCCGAAAAACAGCAAAAGAAACAGAGAAAGTATGTGGAAGCAATTTTAAGAATTCGTGATTAAAGAAAACCCAAACCCCAAAGCACTAACTACAAGTGAAAAAAAACCACACATATTTTGAAAAATTCGGCAATTAATATGCGAAGATTAGATGGTGACGATTATGCTAATCAAACCACTATGGGATCTTACAGAAAAATTATATAGGAAAATACTTTAATGAGTA